AAACACAATAAAATGGATCTTAACAACCATGATAAAGCGGTAAATATAGAGTATATCAAGAATAATGGAGACAGTTTTTAAATCGTTAGATCCAAAATTTGAGCATATTGTCACCATCATTGAAGGAACAAAAGAATTAGAAGGTATGACAATGGAGCAACTTCTTGGGTTCATTTGACAAGCTTATGAAGAAAAGAATAAGAAAAAAGATATCGTTGAACAAGTCTTCAAGATGCGGATTACTAAAAAAGAAAATGGCCAAAGTTACCAAATACGAGGTGGCGGTTGATAAGGTTCAAATTAACTCCTAAAGCCTACTCTCTCAAATAAGAGATCTATTGCAGTACTTAAGGGTCGAATTCCACAAAGTTCTTTTGTTCACACAATAAGTTATAAGTCTCGAAATTAGGCTAAACAAAATAATTAAAATTAAAATGAAACACGAGCAAGCGATATTATCAGGTGAAAAGACCAATGGATTAAAGCGTCAGGTTTAGGGAAATTCTCAGGAAATAAATTATTAGTAAATCTAGCAAATTAATTAGGATTATTTAATGAACCGTTCTTGAACTCAAATCACTAATGAAAAACTAACCACCTCTCGATGCGCTAACTAACAAGTCTAATATCAGTAATTCCACCTCTCGATGCGCTAACTAACAAGTCTAATATCAGTAATTCCACCTCTCGATGCGAATTCCTAGATCTAGACTAGCATTAAATTCAGGTTTGATATGTTCACCTTAGTAGATAGGCCGATTCTTATTACACACCTATAAACCAGGCTCATCTAAGTTTGTTCCAGTAACAGGTGCCCTCTCGGATCAAATACCTATTATCCTAAGATCAGGTTCTAGTTAGCTACTCTAGAACAAGCATTAAGAACAACCTAGATGAAGAACTCTATGGATTAATCCTAACAGGTAATTGATTTACTAGTTCATCTAAATCCCTAATGAGAATCCCTAAACCTAACAGGGAGATTACTCAGACATGATTAATGAAACAGAAAACATGTTGAATAGATTGCAAAATAAGAAATCAAAAGAAGAAAAGGGTTTAGAAGAAATTATATTCCAAAGGGTTCGAGCACAGAGACTTACAGAAGCAAAAGACAAAAGTTGCCGGGTACAGAAACTGAAAAACCCTAAAAACTATTTATAAAGTCTCCAAAAACGTGCAGGGACTAAAATTGCAAATAGGGAAGTCTTCTGGGTAAATTCTACGGGCTTTAAAACTCTAAACCGTCGAGATTCCTTGCTGGGCCACATATGGTGTCGAGCGACACCAAGGGTGTCGGTCGACACCAATGCCTTGGTTCGAATCCGATTTTGTCTCTTCAGCTCCAAATCTCCGGTTTAGCTCCAGAATGATTCATTTTCTCCAATTTCGTCCCGAATATGTAAAAACCTGAAAAGACTCAAAAAAACACTAGAAACAACAAAAAGACTCTAAAACTAACACACGCAAATCACGGTTAAAACCAGTAAAATCCGTGTTATATCAACTCCCCCAGACTTAGCTTTTGCTTGCCCTCAAGAAAAACACAAAAACCGAACCCGTGGAAGAAGTTTGAAAACATAGAAACTCCCAATTTCTCTAGCCTATTACCTTGATTATTCAAAACAAATCCAATTGCCTAGCAGATTGCATCAAATCCTAACCACCATGTAATTCTCCGCAAGCATTCTCAACATTCCAAATTCCAAACCAAATTGCACAACTATATCCAATAGCCCTCATCGCATAAATCTCATCAATAAAATCAGTACTCAAGACCTTCTAGACTCATTCCCATACTATACCATGATAAATCAACCATTACAACATATTTAGGTACTCTTTCTCTCCCCCAAACTTATTCTTTTTCAAACCATTTTTTTTTTACCTTCAAAGGTGTAGGCGAATAATGGTATCATCGGAAATTTTCCTAACCTCGCTTCCAACCTTCGTGTGATCATCCCTCTTGAAGTAAAATAATGAGATCACGGGAAATTTTCCTATCTCTTTACTCCAAAAGAAAATCATCTCAATCTTCTTTTTTTTTTTTTTTTTTTTTTTTTTTTTCTTTTTTAGAATAAGGGAGACGAGCACCATTCTTTTTCCACATTGGTCTCATTTATCAGGTATGAACGAGGAGTCAAGTTCTACGAATACTAACCTTACAGACAAGGTGAAGAGCATAAACTTTGCTCAGGCTTTAGCGGATTATGTTGGAAACGTGGATATCCTCTGGTCTATCGATTAACTCTCTGGATTTTCCATTAGTCGGACTGATTTGAATATGCAGCATTAAACTAACCAGGCAATAATCTAGAGAAAAAGATCATATTTTCCAACAAAATTTTGACTCAATAAAACGACTCAAAAGAAAAAGAAAAATAAGACTCAAAAAGAAAGAAAAACATAATTAGTAACTGCCTCCCCCAGACTTAAATGACACTGTCCCCAGTGGCATTCAAATCCAGAGTTAGCAAAAAAAAAAGAAAAATAAAATAAAATAAAAGTAAAAGAAAAAGAAAGAAAAACATACCAGTGGGTTGCCTCCCACTAAGCGCTTATTTTCAGTCATTAGCTTGACTATGTCGGGATTCAGGAATGAGGTGGAGCAGGAGAAGTGTTTGAAGACTTCTCAGAAGCGCGACGCCTTGCTAGCCATGGTGGAGTGTAAGTGGTGGAGGTGTGCTCATGTCCAAGGAAACTTGTAGAAGCTGCAACATCCGTAGTTCCATGTCCTGCATCAACAACAGAAGAAACAAGCACGCGAGAATCTCGTGGCTCGTTTACCTGTGAAGCCTTCTTCGAAGATATGGAATGATTAATGGAAGAAGGTAAAGTAGGAGGAGGAGATGAGCAATACCTTTATTGATCAAGGCGTGGAAAGCGTGGGCGAGGTGCTCTGTATGGCTCAGGAACAGCTCTCGAACTTGTGGCAGTGTTTGCAGTCCCAAGAGCAATGCTTGCTGAAGGCGTTGTCTCTGGTCGTCAAGGGTGTTGATCGACACAAATGGTGTCGGTCGACACCGGTCCGTCTGCAGAAGGCTGTATGGCGAGCTGAGCATTGTCGGGCTCCTTTGGCGTAGTAGACTGTGATTCCTGCGCAGATTCTTTTGTAGATTCAACAGAAAAGGACTTATTTACTGAGAATCGGAGGTGTACGTGGTCCTTTTATGTAGAAATTCATCTTCACATCACAAACATCCAACAAAATCTGTCCCTTCTTCACATCAATCGTCGCACCAGCTGTGGCCAAGAAAGCTCTACCCAAGATAAGAGGATCCTTGGGTTGAACATCGTAGTCCAGCACTACGAAATCAGCAGGGATGAGGCATTCACCAATCTTCACAGGAACATCCTCCAAGATTCCTTCGGGAATACGCTTAGAACGATCCGCGAGAAGCAAAGTGATTCTTGTCGGCCTGTAAGATATCATACCAAGGCGGACAGCAACTGAATGTGGCATAAGATTAATGCTAGAGCCGAGGTCACATAACGATTTCTTGAACCGGCTTGTAGAGATGGAACAATCAAGTACAAAGCTTTCTGGATCAGGTAACTTCTCAGGCATTCGAGTCTGGATAATCGAGCTAACGTGTTCAGACACAACCACTCTCTTCTTCCGCTCTTTCTTAGCTTCCTGCAGCATAATCAAACTGATATCCTTGGTGAGCAAAACAGCTTCCTCAGCACAGATACCGTTGTTTACCAAACGCTTGACATATCGATCAAGTGTTGGAGAAGATGTCTCGGGATTGACTTTAGGAATAGAAGTCAAGATCTTCTCCATGATGGCCTTGCAGCGAGCATCCTGAATCTCTTGCTTAGAGCGACGCTTCCTAGGAAAAGGAACCAGAGGCGTGTAAACAGGCTTGGTCGGTGGAAAAACAAGAGCATAAGGAGCTGTTCTGACCCAGTGTCGATCGACACTAGGTGAGTGTCGGTCGACACTGGTACTCGGTGTCGAGGTTGGAGAAACTGTAGCGGTCGATAACTCTCCGTCAAACGTCGAAATTTCCTGGAGGGATTGATGGTGTCGAACGACACCCTGGTGGTGTCGGTCGACACTGTGGATTTGAGTCTAGCTGTTGGAGGCTGTGTCGATCGACATGTCTTCTTCGAACGTCGTTCTCCACGGGTAACGGACGGGTGTCGAGCGACACCAACGAGTGGCGCTCGACACCGGCTCTGCTGCTGCGAGCTCGAGCTCGTCTTCCGTATCCAACTCTTCCTAAACATCATCTCCATCACGAATCAGAATCGCATTACATGTTCTCTTGGGATTAGCATCAGGCATACCAGGAAGAACACCATCTTGTCGCTTAACAGCGTCAAAAGTTTGAGCAACTTGAACATCGAGCTTCTTCATATGAGTGTTCAAAGTGTCAATCTAGCCATTCAAATCAGTGTAGATGGCATCAAACTTCCCCTTGAACTCCACTGTAAGCTTAGTTTGCCCCTCCAAAATCTGCTCAAGCATTGTCTCCATCTTACTCTCGGGAGTGGGCGCAGGTGGATTCTGGTATATCGTGTTCCCGTAGGTCCTCTTGAAGCTACTAGTATGCGGATATGTCTTTTGAAATGTTGACCTGTTGTTAAAGCCGGAGTTGGACTGATTCCCTGTGAAACGCTGACCACTGAAGTTGCCACTGAAGTTGCCTTGTCCATCAATGTAGAACACTCCTTCTTCAGATTCTTCCTCTGGTTCAATAGTCTCAACCTCTGCAGCAAAGTGAACAGCTTTCTTTCCCGTGAGGAGGCTGTGGACCGAATCCAACTTGGCATTAACCTTAGCGAACTGAGTACCAGTAATTGCGCCTGCAATCTTCTTTCTCTCGAAGTCCGCGTTCTTCGTGCTGTTGCTACAAGCAAGATTCTCAATGAGAGCTACAGCATCTATGGGGTACCTGGTGTTGAAGTTACCATTGCTCGCAGCGTCAAGAGCCATCTGGTATCTCCAATCTATTCCTCTGAAGAACGTACCGATAAGCTGAACTTCACTGAAACCGTGATGAGGGCAATCTCGTTGGTACTCCTTAAATCGAACCCAAGCAGCTTTGAATGCTTCTGCTGGTCCCTGAGTGAATGTAGATAACTTGTTGCGCAGCTCCTCAAACTTGCCATCACCATAGAAATTGTTGAGAAAAGCTATCTTGATACTCTGCCAGTTAGTCAAAGATCCTGGCTTCAACTGCTTTAACCAAGAAGCTGCTTCCCCAGCAAGTGAGTATGGGAATAGCTTGCAGAGAAGGTAGTCATCTGAAACTCCATTAGCCTTGATGCTAGATACTAAGTCCTCAAATCACTCGATATGATCCATAGGCTGTTCATTGGAGAAGCCATGGAAAGGATGTTGACCCACAAGAGTGAAGTATGCGGGTTTCAACTCGAAGTCATGTCTCTGGAATGGGGGAGGTACGATCGCTGATCGATTAGCATAGAACAGGTCTGGCCTGTTGTAATCCCCAAGAGTCAACTGACGTGCCGCTGCGACAGGCGGCTGTTGTTGGCCCTGCTGGCCAACTCGGATCTACACGTCCGCAGGGAGTTGGTGTCAAGCGACACCTTGGTGGTGTCGAGCGACACCATCGACGTGAGCTGCCACTGCGTTTGGTGGAACGGCAGGATTGTGGATATTAGGATCATCCACAATCAGATCCTCAGGTATGACAATCCCTTGATCGTCCAATCTCTGTCCAGCCTCATTGTAGGCTTGTCCATCATCATCTCTCAAAACCCCTTCTTCATCAGCTCTGATTTCTCCACGAACCATTGTTGATGTTTTGCGAGCTTTGCGGTTGGTGCGTTCTAACTTTCCCAAGTCGAGTGTAGACAAATTGACGAGGTTCTTCTCTTTGCTGCTCCGGGTTATGCGATTAGGCATGCACCTGAAACTCAAGAAAAAGAAAAGAAAGAAACGCGTGACTATCAAAAGAAAAGAAAAATCTAGACAAAATTTCTAAACATAATTTAATGGTGATTCCCAAGAACTTCGGCAACGGCACCAAATTTGATAAGGTTCAAATTAACTCCTAAAGCCTACTCTCTCAAATAAGAGATCTATTGCAGTACTTAAGGGTCGAATTCCACAAAGTTCTTTTGTTCACACAATAAGTTATAAGTCTCGAAATTAGGCTAAACAAAATAATTAATATTAAAATGAAACACGAGCAAGCGATATTATCAGGTGAAAAGATAAATGGATTAAAGCGTCAGGTTTAGGGAAATTCTCAGAAAATAAATTATTAGTAAATCTAGCAAATTAATTAGGATTATTTAATGAACCGTTCTTGAACTCAAATCACTAATGAATAACTAACCACCTCTCGATGCGCTAACTAACAAGTCTAATATCAGTAATTCCACCTCTCGATGCGAATTCCTAGATCTAGACTAGCATTAAATTCAGGTTTGATATGTTCACCTTAGTAGATAGGCCGATTCGTATTATACACCTATAAACCAGGCTCATCTAAGTTTGTTCCAGTAACAGGTGCCCTCTCGGATCAAATACCTATTATCCTAAGATCAGGTTCTAGTTAGCTACTCTAGAACAAACATTAATAACAACCTAGATGAAGAACTCTATGGATTAATCCTAATAGGTAATTGATTTACAAGTTCATCTAAATCCCTAATGAGAATCCCTAAACCTAACAGGGAGATTACTTAGACATGATTAATGAAACAGAAAAAATGTTGAATAGATTGCAAAATAAGAAATCAAAAGAAGAAAAGGGTTTAGAAGAAATCTTCTCTCTAACAAGGTAATGAATCTCTGAAAAGTTGCTCTCTCCAATTATATTCCAAAGGGTTCGAGCACAGAGACTTACATAAGCAAAAGACAAAAGTTGTCGGGTACAGAAACTGAAAAACCCTAAAAACTATTTATAAAGTCTCCAAAAACGTGCATGGACTAAAATTGCAAATAGAGAAGTCTTCTGGGTAAATTCTACGGGCTTTAAAACTCTAAACCGTCGAGATTTCTTGCTGGGCCGCGTATGTTGTCGAGCGACACCAAGGTTGTCGGTCGACACCAATGCCTTGGTTCGAATCCGATTTTGTCTCTTCAGCTCCAAATCTCCGGTTTAGCTCCAGAATGATTCCTTTTCTCCAATTTCGTCCTGAATATGTAAAAACCTGAAAAGACTCAAAATAGACACTAGAAACAACAAAAAGACTCTAAAACTAACACGCAAATCACGGTTAAAACCAGTAAAATCCGTGTTATATCAGCGGTCAAGTACGAGGACAAGGTCATGGATATGGAAATGGATGAGGTTGGAGGTCGTATGAAGACAACACAAACCAAAGAAGAAAACTCATCAAGATATCGTGGAAGAGGAAGCCCAAAATCAAGATATGATAAGTCAAGTGTCAACTGTGGGAAGTTTGGACGTTATGCTTCTGAATGCAAAGCTCCTAGCAACAAAAAAGTCGAGGAGAAGGCACACTATATTGAAGAAAAAATCCAAGAAGAAGACGTGTTATTAATGGCTAGTTACAAGAAAGATGAACGTGAAGAGAATCATAAGTGGTACCTCAATATTGGTGCAAGTAATCACATGTGCGGGAGAAAAAGTATGTTCGCGGAGCTTGATGTATCGGTGAAAGAAAATGTGGCTTTAGGAGATGAATCGAAGATAGAGGTAAAAGGTAAAAAAAACATTATCATCTGATTGAAGAATGGAAATCATCAGTTTATTTCTAACGTCTACTATATTTCAAGCATGAAGACCAACATCTTGAGCATTGGACAACTCTTAAAAAAAAAGTTACGATATTAGATTAAAAGATAATAACTTTTCTATAAGAGTCCAAAAAAGCATTCTCATTACCAAGGGGCCAATGCCAAAAAATAGAATGTTTGTCCTTAACATTCGAAAAGACATCGCACAATATCTCAAGATGTGCTACAAGGAGGAGTCTTAGCTTTGGCATCTTTGATTCAGACATCTAAATTTAGAAGGATTAGAGTTGCTTTCGAATAAAGAAATGGTGAGAAGACTACCTTGCATCAATCATCCAAATCAAATTTGTGAAGGATGTCTACTTAAAAAACAATTCAAAATGAAAGTCAAGTTCAAGAGCTCAAAAACCGTTGGAGCTAATACACACTGATGTGTGTGGTCCAATCAAGTCGAAATCACTTGGTAAAAGTAATTACTTCCTTCTCTTTATTGATGATTTTCAAGAAAAACATGGGTTTACTTTTAGAAAAAAAAACCGAGGTGTTCAAAAACTTTAAAGTATAAAGTCCATGTTGAGAAGGAAAGTGGTCTTGTGATGAAAACCGTGGAGGAGAGTTTACATCCAAGGAATTTCTAATGTATTGTGAAGATAACAACATTCAAAGACAATTAACGGTGCCAATATCCCCTCAACAAAATGGTGTAGTAGATGTAAATAATAGAACAATTCTTGTGATGGCGAAAAGCATGCTCAAAATTAAGAGACTACCAAAATATTTGTGGGCGGAAGCGATCGTGTGTAAGGTTTATCTAGTAATCTGATTTCCAACAAAAAGTATCTCGGGAAAAACAGCACAAGAAGCTTGGAGCGGAAGGAAGCCTGGTGTTTCTCATTTAAGAGTTTTTGGAAGCATTTCTCATGCTCATGTACTACTGGATGAGAAGCGAAGCAAACTAGATGACAAAAGTGAGGAGTGCATCTTCATTGATTATGATAACAACTCCAAAAGCTATATAAAACCCCCACTTTATTAGTCTCTCCCAGGCACAAAACCCAAGAAACATCAAAGTAGTTAGCTTGGTTTGAAAGAGTGGATCTTACCTACTTTCTTTTACCAAATAAGGCAAGTCTGTTTCCACAATGATGCTCTCCTGTCGTGCTTCCGACCTTGCATGAGTCTCCTCCTCCCTTTCTCCTTCCCAGTCTTGTTCTCATCCTCAGCGTCTGCTATGTTTCTCTTCTTGGTTCCCAAAAATCTCTCTTCCTATGTTAAAAAGATGACTATGTTCTTAAACTGGACTGCAAAAGCTCCAGTCTGTTCTCTCAAGCCTCTCTGGTTACATCTTTGTTTCCTGTCTTTTAAAGTGAAGACAGAGCCATATCTCCCCCTTGAGTCTTCTCTAGCTCTAAGCTAAGATCTTTTTGGTTAATCCTTTGCTATACTCAAGCTTCTCTTTGGCAAAGAGAGTAAAACCAAGTTGGTATAGAGAATCTCCTCCAAAAGAAGCTCATTTTTCTTTTGAGCCTGAGGATGATAATGATATGGTGGTACTCCCTCGAGTGGACAACTCGGCTTTGTTAGCTCGCCTCCATCTCAGCTTAGTAGGGCGAATATTCCACCAAGAAGGACACATCATTGAAGCTCTTGACTCTCTTCTCCCCAAGGAGCATATCTAGGATGTTGAAGGAAGAGTTCGTGGGGTTTCTCTTGGCGACTCACGCTTCCAATTTTTTTCGAATCTGAAGCGGATCTACAAAAAATTCTTAACAAACGTCCCTGACATTTCAAGAAATAATCCTTTGCCCTTGAAAGGTGGGAACCTTACACTAGAACTGCTTTCCCAGACTCAATGATCTTTTGGGTTAGAACTGAAGGCATTCCGCCAGAACTTTGGGAAGAGCAAATCTTTACAAATTTTGGAAACTCCTTTGGTGTGGTTCGCAGAGTGGATCCTAACAAAGGAAGAATACAAGTCTTTGTTAAAGCAGATGCTCCACTTTGCTTCAACAAGAATGCTTAGATTCCAACTGGAGAAGTTGTGAAAGTCAAGATCTTTTATGAAAAACTCCTCCGCTGGTACTCGTACTACAGACGCATTTGTCACAAAGTGGACTCTTGCCTGTTGCTAGATGATAACCAACGAGTGTTGTTGGCTGCCAATGACGACCAGAGAGGAGCGCGTCTCTCCCACAATAATGACAGTTATTCTCATCAGTTAACTCATCACTATAAGGACATTCCCCGCAAGATCCAAGATAGGAAGGCTTTAATGCTGTCAAATGGGAATTATTCTAGGAGATCTTTGGCTCTATAAGGAGATTCAAGAACCTTTAGGAACAAACATGAAACCTCTATCCCAGCTACTCGTAATGGTGATAGTAGATATTATCACCAGAAGTCTTCTCTTCCTCCTAACC